CCTTAAATCTCAAGGATATAGGAAAATGTGTATCACTTCTATTCAAATTCACTGAGAGGAAACTCCCAGTGGTTCGGTGAGTGAAGTATGTAGGCACTTTTTCTCCAGGTAAGATTGCAGAAACACGAGTCGATGTCTTGATGATAAAGTCTCTTGCTTCTTGATTCAGTTTGAAGCAGTTGATAAACCCGAGATGATCAAACTCTGTCTTGTGAAAAGAGCAATCAAGTTTCTCTAGTGACTCACAATTTTCTGCAATTAGGATTTTTAAGGAGTCTGGAAGCTTTGGGAGCGAAACCAGATTTGTGCATCCCTTGATTACAAGTATTCATAGACCTTGGTCTGAGCTCAAAAGCAACAGTCGCCTCTGCCCTCTGTTCTCACCGGAGAAGGCGTCATCGATATCCCATTTTTAACAAGATAGAGGATGAAATCTCTGTAATCCGAACTCGCTACAAGCCAGACGAGGAGGATGTTGTTCTCTGGAGGTGGAAGTTGATGAGTACAAGCCTCGATTTAGTACGAAACTAACTCGGGACCTATTACGACAACCACGCCCTCTAGTACCATGGAGAAGAGTGGTGTGGTTACTCATAATACTCCCAAATTTGCTTTCAACACTTGAATCACTATTCTTAACAGACTCCCGACTGGAGACCGAATGTTGACATGGAATGCGCAGCTATACACTTCTTGCGTTTTTTGCCTTCATCCAATTGAATGCAGAGACCATATATTCTTCGATTGCCCATACACTTCCCAGATTTGGAATGCTTTAGAAAGAGGAATACTCAAGGAAAACTTCACCTGCTCCTGGGAAGAATTACTGAGTTTCCTTACTCACCAGAACCATGGTCGCCTGAAAAACTTCATGACCAGGTATCTCTTCCAAATGACCATCTACCTTATTTGGGGAGAAAGAAATGGTCGCAGGCATGGAGAACACCACTCTGAACCGTGGCATCTTATACGAAGAATAGACAAAGGAATGAAAATCAGATTCAACTCCATTCGCCTGCTTGGAGATCGGAAGTACGAAGATGAATATCAGCTCTGGCTAACTTCATATCCACACTGAAGTCTAGATTCAAATTTTCATAGATAATGCTTTCTAAACTTGCAAACATCTGATGTAAAAAAGTTTTTTTTGGGTTCGAATAAATTTAACATTCATTCAAAAAAAAAAAAAAAGTATTCGTAGATAAGACATTTCCTTGACACATGAAGCAATTTCTTGTATTCTTGTATTGCTCACGTGAAGCTCCCTGATACACTCAAAAGCATGCGGAAATTCCGCAAGGTTTTCACAGTATTGCATATGCAAGTCTTCAAGACAAGACCATGACCTGAATGACCAAGGAATTTCTTCTATTGAAGTTCCACAAATGAAGAGAGATTTAATTTTTGTGGAAATCTCAGGAAAGTTTTTCAAAGATGAGTAGTCAGTGAGATCAAGTGTATCGAGAGATTCCATGTTGATGTTGATCGGAAGGGCTTCTAGCTTTGAGCAGCCTTTCAAAGGTAAGTAAGACAAATTATGAAGATTTTCAATCGATGATGGGAGCTTCACCAGACTTGAGCAACCTCTAAGATCTAGGTCCTTGAGATTAATAAGATTTCCAATAGAAGATGGGAGCTCCACTAGACTTGAACAACCAGTGAGATCTAATATCAGAAGTTTAATAACATTCCCAATAGAAGAAGGGATAGCCTCTAGCTTTGAGCAGCCTTTAAGATCCAAGAACTGGAGATTAATAAGATTCCCAATAGAAGATGGGAACTCTACTAGACTTGAACAACCAGTGAGATCCAATTTCAGAAGTTTAGTAGCATTCCCAATAGAAGAAGGGAGCTTCACCAAACTTGAGCAAATTAGAAGTTTCAGTTCGCAGAGATTAGTGGCAGTTGAAAGATCAGGAAGTTCCTTTAGATTTTCAGAATGACTCAAATCCATCCACTTGAGATTTCTAATCGTCTGTACAGAGAAACAAATACTTATTAGTAGTGAACTCATCACACAAAAAAAAAAAACTACTCATATAACACATTATAATGCCATTGACATTTAATTCCAGCAAAAAAAAAAGTGTGGTGAGATCACTTTTCTTTTTCAGGTAAAGCATACTGTACAAAAAGAGAAACTTTGTATTCGGTTTTATCTTTTTCAGGTAAAGCATACTGTACAAAAAGAGAAACTTTGTATTCGAATAAAACCGAAGTATACTGTAATATACAAAGTTTAAGAGAGAAAAAATTACTTACTTTAACTCCATCCCATAATTTTTCAAGCTTGCTGTTAGGCATGTTTAGCTCGAAGAGGAAGTCCGTATTAAAATTAGAAGGCAGGCATGTCATCAAAATATTTTCACAATCCAGTAATTTAACTGAGTGTAAGAAAAAGTTATTTGATGGCGCATAATTAATCAATTCGTTTGAAACGTCCGCTTCATTATCCCTAACAAGAGGAAATATGAATACATTCATTCAGTGAAACGAATGATCAAAAGTAGATTTATACGAATAAACCTATATATTTTTAGGCAATTCTAAAAAAAAAATCCACATTTTAGCATTTATTTTCCAAAAATATCAACACTGTTAAAGGTTTATAAAGTTTTAGAAAGAAAAGTAACTCTTTGACTTTTAAGAACTCTTCATAAAATTTAATAATCTTGCATATTATATTTGATGTGTTTGAAAAGATTAAGAGCAAGCAGATCACAAGAGAACAAACCAATAGTTTGAATGGTAAACAGCGATTATGGCCACGGGCCACCTTCTCCAAAGTCTCCATCTCCGAATATCCTCCTTATTTTTACCGGCACAAGTTTTTTTAAAAACCATCCCAAAATATCCGGTCAGCTTTTTTACATCAGATGAATCTACTTTTATCAAATTTTGTAATGTAATTTATGATTTTTTTTAGATATAATTTTTTAATAAATGATAAAGATTCATTTTTTTAATTTATATATGTAATTTGTATTTAACTTTTTCTGTTAGTATTATTATGACCGCGAACATAAAAACATAGTTATAACATGATCATTCTAATAATCGAAGAAAGACAGTTATTATAAAAACATAATTCTAATTCATACATTCTATTAATTCTATTAATCCGAAAAGAACTGTGATTATAAAAACATAATTCTTACCCATATGTTCAGCATAAGACCACAATTATAAAAAAAAAAAAATCCTAACATGTTCCATCAAATTACCGTATAATATAAATATTTATCAATTTTCAATATATAAAATTTTTGACTGATTGATTATGATTAAAAAAATACAATAACATATTTGTTAATCATATGTTTATTATAAAAATATTATTTAAATTTCAAATGTTAAATTAAATCTAAATTATATTTAAAGAATTTTAAGTAATTCAACTTAATCTAACTTTTTAGACTTAAATTTAATTACAGTTTTTTTAAATATTTTAAATTTTAAATTAAATATAACTTATATTAAGCAAATCTTTAATTATCTAAATTGATATCTAATTTTCGGAATTACTTTTTTATATAAAAGAAAATGTATTTTTAAAAATAATATCACAACAAAATAGGATAATCTTAAAATAGTTTTTAAATAATTATTTTTAAACAAAATTTTGGGAGTGTTTGGATGCAATCACTAAAAATGTTTCTGTTTTAATATAATAGATGGCCATCACAGTTTGACCCATCTCTTCCCTGCACTTCATAATCTCCACCAATTCGTCAAGACACCATTCTGAAGGAAGCATAGTTCTTGGAGAGCAATATGATTGCAATCTTAGATGCTCTAATCGCCGATATGAGTTCAGGACCGATGGATTTTCCTCTCCTGATCTCATTATCAATGAATGGTGTGATTCCCCTTCTTTGAAACTCCTTTTGAATATGGCTGAGAAAGTCTCGCTGGACATCTTCCCCGTGGAAGCTCGGATAAACGTCGTGTGTCCAGTTGTGAGACGAATAAGATGGAGGAGACAAAGAAGATGGAGGTGATGAAAGAGATAAAGAAGATGGAAGTGATGAAAGAGATAATGGCACTCGGATCTTTTTTCTCACTGGATTTGAAAGCTCCTCTGCTTTCCTTTTCTTTCTCTTTTCTACCATCCGTCTCTGTTTTTTTATTTCTCTCAAAAACGATTGAAATCTCATTTTGAGATTTATAATATTACAACAACAAAATGGAGGGTGATGAAGAAGAAGAAGACAATCGATTCTTGGTTTTCTTGATGGTATCTGAATGTTCTAAATATCATGAAGAAGCATGTTGCAGCAGCAAAGAATGGTAAATGAAAAAAGAAGAATCAATTGGTACAGTGGAGAGAGGGTCAAGGAGCTTGCTAGAGAGATATTTGGAGAAATATGAAACCAAGCGAATGGAACAAAGAGCTTGATTTCTTCTTTGTTTTCTTTGAATATTGTGACACAAAACGTTGACTTTATTGCCTGACAGAGATTTGTGGAAAACTTCATCAGATTATTAAATTCTACAAAGCTTAATCCTCAGCTTCAACTCCTTTGCCAAGAAAATTCAATATCCATTAGAAACTAGGCAAATCACAATATACTAAATTTATAAAATTCGGAAATCCATTGAGATCAATCGATGCATATTTGAATTTACATATAGATAATCTGATATTTATATCTATACTTTTAAAAATATAAATAAATGATCAGACTATTAAATTGAAACAAATAAATAAGAACTAAAAAGTTAAGAATCACCTTTAAGATTAACATGGTTTCTGCGTAAAAATGACACATACAATTCGAGAAATGGTCTAAATTTGAACCCTTGTTAAAATACCAGTTCTGTTTGGGCCGAACGTTTTTTCTTACGCATCCTTCCTACGAGGGTTAACATGTTATTAGAAAAGTTAGGGGTCAAATAATGAATAAACAAAAAAAAACGCTGGAGATGTTTATTGCAATTTAGTATAAAACATATCGCTAAGAGTTTAGAAGTTAGATTCTTCTTTGGCTTTGCCTCTCTCCAAAAACCCTAATTAAACCCCCACCATCAAAGCTCAATGCAGTAAGGAGCCGGAGACGAAGACGGCAAAACAAAAAACTGAAAAAATCTTTAAGCGATGGTGAAGGCGTACTTACGGTATGAGCAGGCTTCTTCGTTTGGCGTGATAACGTCTTTGGATTCGAACATTGCATACGATTCGACCGGGAAGCATGTGCTTGCTCCGGCACTGGAGAAAGTCGGAATCTGGCACGTCCGGCAAGGAATCTGCAACAAAACCCTAATTCCTTCCTCCTCTCGAACCGGACCTTCTCTTGCCGTTACATCCATCGCCTCCTCTGCTTCTACTTTGGTACCTTCAAATATCTATCTTTTTGACTAGTTAGCATTTTGCTCAGAATCTGCTCGGCTATTGATATATTTGGTAGCTGTATAGCAGAAATATAGCTCACAAAGTCAGATATTTGAACGAATCAATTGCTTTGTTGATTTTAATATACTGATTTTGAAGAAATTGAAATGGATAAGCTTTTGACTAAAAGCATGAACCTTTCTTGATATGTCCTTCCTGGTTTTTCAAGCAAATGTCTTTGGACAAGTAGAGTTTAGATAGTTGGAGTTACATTACTGCGTTAAATTTTGTGTGTCACAAGCGGTTTAGTAAATATAGTTGCTTGAACTCTGTATAATCAACCAGGTTGCAGTTGGGTATGCTGATGGGAGTATACGAATATGGGATTGTGAGAAAGGAACTTGTGAGACTACTCTTAATGGCCATAAGGGTGCTGTGACTGCACTGCGGTACAACAAGCTTGGATCTATGATTGCATCTGGAAGTAAAGACAACGATGTTATCTTGTGGGATGTGGTTGGTGAAACTGGGCTTTTTCGTCTCCGTGGTCATCGTGATCAGGTTCGTATTCGGCTAGCTTTGCAGTTCTACTCATGGCTCCCAAAAGGGTTGGTTACTTGTTCTTTTCTTTTTCTTTGACAAAACTAGTGTGCTTTTGTTGTAGGTCACCGATCTTGTCTTCTTGGATTCTGGTAAGAAACTTGTTACTTCATCTAAGGACAAGTTCTTGAGAGTCTGGGATCTTGAGACACAGCACTGTATGCAAATAGTAAGTGGTCATCATAGTGAAGTCTGGTCTGTGGATGTTGATCCAGAGGAAAGATTTCTCGTTACTGGTTCTGCTGATCCAGAACTGAGATTTTATGCTGTTAAACAAAACATGTCGCATGGATCATTGATGTCAGATTCAAAAGCAAATGGAATTGATGCCAGCGAGGATCATATGGCCGAGGATAAGTGGGAAGTTTTGAAACCGTTTGGGGAAATCCAGAGACAAACCAAGGATAGAGTTGCGAGTGTGCGATACAATAAGTCAGGAAGTCTTTTGGCTTGTCAAATGGCTGGAAAAACAATTGAAATATTCCGAGTATTGGATGAAGCGGAGGCAAAGCGGAAATCAAAGCGTAGGCTTCGCAGGAAAGAGAAGAAAAATCCCAAAACCGAGGTTAAAAATGTAACCGATAATGGAGATGCAAGTAATGCAATCGAAGAAGCTGACACTGTTCCTGTTCCTACTGTCCCTGACGTTTTTAAGCTCTTACAAGTCATTAGAGCTGGCAGAAAAATAAGCTCTTTCTCTTTTTGCCCGATTATTCCAAGAGATTCCTTGGCGACATTGGCTTTGTCTTTGAACAATAACTCGCTGGAGTTCTATACCCTGAAGGGCAGCGAAAACGAGAAAACTGCTACTATTGATCAGCAAGGACATCGTTCTGACGTGAGGAGTGTAGCCCTTAGTGATGACAACAACCTTCTGATGTCAACCAGTCACAGTGAAGTGAAAATTTGGAATCCTAGTACAGGTTCCTGTCTCCGGACCATCGATTCAGGATATGGAATTTGCAGTTTGATTGTCCCTAAAAGTAAGTATGGTATTGTTGGAACTAAGAGTGGGGTACTCGAGATCATTGATATAGGGAGTGCTGCCAAAGTAGAAGATGTTGAAGCACATGGTGGAACTATTTGGTCAATTGCACCTATTCCAGATGACACTGGTTTCGTCACTGTAAGTGCAGATCATGAGGTCAAATTCTGGGAATACCAAGTCAAAAAGAAACCTGGCCAAGTGAGCAGCTTTCTTACCTTTCTTTTATTTGATTAATACTCTAGTTGAAGAAGTCACTGATGCAATTTTGTTTGTTTGTTGGGGAAAATGTTTCCACAGTTGCTTCTTAGAGGCATTCATTTTAATTATTACGATGTGTTAATATCTTTTGTCCTTCATTTCGGTTTCACTGGCTGCTTCTTAAATTACTTTCTTTTCATCTCCTGGTTTATTTGACTTTTTTCTTTTCTTTTCTATTCGGTTCTATGATAACAAAGGGTTGAATGAGCTGATTCGTTACACTTACTGTCAGTTGAATTTTATATGACTCTTGTAAAGCATATAATATTAAATTATATTGCAGGAGTCCAAGCAACTCACGGTTTCAAATGTGAGGTCTATGAAGATGAATGATGACGTACTTGCCGTTGCCATCAGTCCTGATGCTAAACATATTGCAGTCGCTCTGCTTGATTCCACCGTCAAGGTATGAATTATATCTTGTATCCTGATAATAGCATAATTAAATTGTCTATGTTTCAGTTTGTAAATTTTTTTTCGTATATTCGGAAAAATGTTGCTTAATCATGCTCCCATCATATTGTTTCCAGGTTTTCTATGTAGATTCCCTCAAATTCTACCTCTCCTTGTACGGCCACAAGTTGCCTGTCATGTGCATTGCCATTTCATCCGATGGAGAGTTGATTGTAACTGGTTCTCAGGACAAAAATTTGAAAATTTGGGGTTTGGATTTCGGTGATTGTCACAAGTCCATCTTTGCTCATGACGACAGGTACTTCCAGAAACTGTAACCATATTTCTCCGAATGGCACAAAAATGTAAATCTGTCGACCTTTTTTTCCATTTTAAAATATAATCATTGTACAATGGAGAAGCTAGACTTTCAGAAAAAAAAATGAAAACAATATGGCATTACGTGCATGGTATAAAATAGAACTCTTTTTAACAGTGGATTCTCAATACATTTTGAATTATTAGTGGAAACATGCTTTTTTTACAAGACTCTCTAGGATTACTAACGATTTGTGCTGTTCTGCTGACACGTGACTCTTGTTTTCTAGTGTTATGGGGGTGAAATTTGTTCGCAATACCCATTACCTGTTCAGCATTGGGAAAGACCGACTTGTGAAGTATTGGGATGCGGACAAGTTTGAGCTTCTGTTAACGCTTGGTGGACATCACGCAGAGATTTGGTGCTTTGCTATCAGCAACCGTGGTGATTTTCTCGTCACAGGATCTCATGACCGCTCCATGCGACGTTGGGATCGTACTGAAGAACCTTTCTTCCTCGAGGTAATGCCCTATTGCTTGAAGTTGGTCCAGTAAATTTTGAATGAAGAGTCAGATTCAGATAGATGCAGAAAGGAATAAAATGTGAAATTCGAGCAAGTCATTTAACTATATGAAGAAGTATCTTTCTTTATTTTGGTCGTAAAATGGCGATTTGGTAGCAGGACTACGTAGATATCTTAGCATTCTGATGAGTTACTTGTAAATGACTTTGGGTCCATAACTTCAATTTTGCTCGAAATTCTCAGGAGGAAAAAGAAAAGAGGTTAGAAGAGCTATTTGAGTCTGAGATCGATAACGCAGCGGATAACAGGCATGGATCCCTGGAGGAAATCCCAGAGGAAGGTGTTGCAGGTTTAGCTAAGAAGACGACAGTAGATGTCCTATCAGCTGCTGATTCAATCTTAGAAGCTCTAGAGCTAGCGGAAAATGAAAAGAACCGTGTTGCTGAATATGAGGTGAGAATTGTGAGCTTGCATATCTACATATGCTAAAAATATATGCATTTCTCAGTTGTTTCTAAGCATTCTCGGGTTAGGTTCATTTCCCGATGGGGCCATGGATTGTGATCTAAGTCTTGTATATGTTGATTTTGCCATCATGAATATCAGGAGGAAAAAACAAAGGGAAAGGTTCCTGATCTCCTTCCAAATGCTGTGATGCTCGGGCTTTCTCCGTCTGAGTTTGTTCTCAAAACCATCTCAAAAGAGAAAACAAACGATCTTGAACAGATCTTACTGGTTAGTTGTTTCTCTCCCAAATGAAAAAACTCATCGGCCTTTCTTTGGGTTTTACAATTTCTTGTTTAAAAAGGTTCAGAAAAAGCTAGTTACTCGGTTGCCCCTCAACTATATACAGCAGCTAAAGTTTTTTCAACTCAAGGTTTTTTTTTTGCTTATCAAGTGCACTTACTATCCTTCTCTGGTTTTGTGTAGCCTCTACCATTCTCAGATGCTTTAAAGCTTCTTTCCTACATGAAAGACTGGAGTTTGATTCCCGAAAAGGTGACTCTTTCTACTCCTTTTTTTTTCCATCAACAGTATCTCTCAATGTATCCTTAGCTTCAGTAAATCTAGCTCTGAAGTGCTTGACTCATAAAAAGCGTGTCATAAGTTACGTCAAATTATATGTCCATTCACACATGGAACCGCTGAAGTGTGTACATAGAGATGTTATCTTGTGTCGATGTTGATCTTATTCATCAAAGCTTTTTGGTTCTGAAACTGTTGTTGTATAATCCACGCAGGTAGAGCTAGTTTGCAGGATTTCAACGATTGTATTACAGACACATCACAATCAGTTGGTAACGACACCGGCTGCACGACCAATATTAAGTGTTCTTAGGGATATTCTTCACGCAAACGTCAAGGTAAAGTTATCTGTGACTGACAATATACAGATAGATAATATAACAGTTTGTAAGTGACGATAGTTAGGTAATATTTGAATTGCTGTTACCAGGAATGCAAAGATACAATCGGTTTCAATTTGGCTGCCATGGATCATGTGAAGGTAACTCAACTATTCAATTGTTTCGTCACGTGCAACGCCGAGTTTGAGAAGAAAACATTATGACCTGTGGTTTTTTTTTTTTCTTAAACAGCAAATGATGGCATCAAGATCTGATGCTCCTTTCAGAGATGCCAAGGCGAAGCTGATGGAGATAAGATCACAGCAAGCGAAACGCATGGAGGCACGTTTGGATACGAAAACAGAGAGAAAAAGAAAGAAGAAACAGAAGAGACTAGAGGATGGGCAGCATGGTCATGCTTGGGTCTGATTTTTTTTTTACTGGCTATTTTTGTTTGTAATTTTGAAGGGTTAAAGTTAAAATCCAAAATTTTGCTGTAATGTTGTGACTAGAATTAATTTACTTTTATAATATCTATCCAAAACTTGGTTGACTAGGCCCAACCAAATTCTCAATTTCTCTGCGGATTCTTGATCAATTGATTGATTCTCTATTACTTACACTCGACCATCTGAGCGTGAAGAGGCTTCATCTACATATGCTTTTCATTGTTACATAATAAGTAAAGGAGCTTGAACAAATTCTTGCAAATCAACTTCTCGATTTTTTACTATAGATCTTCCATTGCCATACCCGAGACCCAACAATTGCAATGTAAGATTCACTTCTCTCTTCTCTGATTTTGGAATGGAAAACTGGTCTTCAATTAAACAGCTCTAGTTGCAAACTGGTTTTCATTATTACATGCTTTTAGAGCATCTCCAATGCAGGATGGTATTTGTATTTTGTACTTCTATAAATCATCTCTTCCTATATTAATTTGGTTTTATGTAATATAGTTTATGTAACATTATTTTCTAAATTATCAAAATTTGCAAAAAATATTTTCGAAAAATATTATTTTTTATTCAGAAGAACTCCAAAAAAGAGATCAGGGTTAAAGGTGTAAAAATAGGAGAGGTTTTTTACTATTTATAAAAAAAAATATATATATTAAAAAAATCCAAAGAACTCCAAAGAGGGTCTCGACATGCCCTTACTCGACCCTTGACATAAACAGGCTTTGTAGTTGCAAACTCTTAAAATTTAATGTTTCTTAAGCAAAAACATGGGTTCGATCTTTCGACTGCTCCTTTGTAGTTCGATCTTCAAATGCTTTTAATTAAATGAAATGTTTGCCCAAAAAAAAAAAGACACGAAATAAAACGCTGCGTTCGACAGAGAAATAAACTTTGGTAAGGATGAGATTGGCCTTTGAGAAAGTGAAAAACATTATCCAGAAAAATCAGACGTTACCACCAATCTCTCAGCTTGCTTTGAAATCCAAACAGAAACACCAGAAAGAAAAAAAATGCAAGAAAGTTGTCATCTTTAAAAAAAAAATCACTCTTTCTTCTCTGCTCCTAACATGGAGACCCTTCTCTCTCCACGTTCTCTCTCCCCTCCTCTCACAAAACCCACTCTAAATTCCTCGTCTTTCTCCAGACCCATCTCTTGCCAATATCCCAAGCTCGCTAAACCGGAATCTCCAGCCCTCAAAAACTCGTTAACCAATGCCAAACAGGTAAAATTCATCACTTTGATTGAGCCTCGCTTTCTAGTTTAGCATATTGTGTCTTCTTTACAAAATTGGGTATAATGTGCCAATGCAAAAAAAAAAGCTTCGTTTTTTTATAATCGTGGTGTTTGAAGTTTGATTATGTTTATATTGACACCGTCTCTTAAGGCTTGTGCAGTTGGGAGGAGGAGCTTGATGATGAGTGGCTTGCTCATGTCTGGTTTAATGGTTTCAGAAGCCAATCTACCAACATCATCATTTGCTTTGACTTCAGTGTTCAGAGAGTACATTGATACATTTGATGGATACTCTTTCAAGTACCCTCAAAACTGGATCCAAGTCCGAGGAGCAGGCGCTGACATATTCTTTAGAGACCCTATTGTCCTCGACGAGAACCTCTCGGTCGAGTTCTCTTCGCCTTCTTCCTCCAAATATAAGTCTCTTGAGGACTTGGGCTCCCCTGAAGAAGCGGGAAAGACAGTGCTTAGACAGTACTTGACTGAGTTTATGTCCACTAGACTTGGGGTCAGGCGCGAGGCCAACATCCTTACAACTTCCTCCAGAGTTGCAGATGATGGTAAACTCTACTACCAAGTCGAGGTAAGCCAAGATCAGTTGCCAAATTGCATCATAAAGTCCTAAATTATGAGCAACAACATCATAGGACGGCTTAGTTCATTTGATAGTTGAGGTTGATGATAGGGAGGATGATTCTTGTGCAAGCTTTAGGGTGAATTTGGACAAGAACGAGGGCCATTACATTTGTCTTGTCGGTTTAGAGTTGTATAAGAAAACGATCGTTTTCTTGATCAATCATAGTGTTACAACATGTAAGAATAGTTTTCTTGATAAAACATTTCTTGGTGTTGCAACATGTGTTGATTAATCACAGTGTTTCAGAGTTTCTTAAGACAACTGTTTTCTTGAGCAAATCACAGTGTTTCAGGATTTGTGATTGCAACAATAAGTCTTATTTTTCGGTTCAAGCTGCACATGCATTACTGCTTTTGTGATATGGAGGATGTTCTTGTGCCTATTGCTGAAACAAAAGTGTGAAGCTTTAGGCTAATTTGGACAAGAACCGGGCCATTACGTTCGTCTTGTTGGTTTAGAGTTGCATAAGGAAATAACGATTGTTTTCTTGATCAATCATTAAGTATAGTTTTCTTTGATCACACATGTCTTATTTCCGGTTCATTTGAAGCTGCAACATGCATTATAATGCTTTTATCTTGAAGTTAGAGATATTGTAATGATAGATCACATAGCTTCATTTAGCTACATTGGTTTTTTTTGGGATGATTTGAACAGGTGAACATAAAGTCGTACGCAAACAACAACGAGCTCGCAGTGATGCCACAAGACAGAGTGGCTCGTTTGGAATGGGACAGGCGCTACCTAGCGGTTCTAGGAGTTGAGAACAATAGACTCTATTCATTGAGACTCCAAACACCTGAGAAAGTTTTCCAGGAAGAGGAAAAAGACCTAAGAAGAGTCATGGATTCCTTCAGGGTCGAGAAGATTTAAGAGAAGAAGCTTCTTCACATTTTTCCAAACAAAAAAAACAAAATTTCTTTACTGTAATTTAAAAGGCTCTTGCTTGTAATGTTCTTACATGATTCAAGTTATTTATATTTGAGAATTCAGATTAAGTTTTTGGTCTGAGGAAGGTGGTAACTTGTAATCTCAAATCTGCCAACGGCAACTGTTACAGACTAAGCTTTAATCCGAATTGATCAAATTTTACCCAAACCGGTTAATTTGAAACTAAATTGATGGTATTATTACCGGTTATCGGTGAAGGTTTTTTGTTTTTTTTTGGTTAAAGTCTTTCGCAAAAACCCTCACTGGGAAAAAGGAGAAGACGAAGACGACGACGACGATGGTGGGATTTGAGAGCTACGTGGTTGTTCACAACATAGCAAAGCGGCACAACATCGGAACACTAGCTCGAAGCGCGACGGCGTTTGGTGTTACGGAGGTGATCCTCGTCGGCCGCCGTGACTTCAACGCCTTCGGAAGCCATGGTTCAGCTTCTCACATCCGTTTCCGCCATTTTCACTCCCTCGCCGATGCTCGCACCTACCTCAAGGTCTTGATTTCATAATTACCCAAGTTTCTGGATTTTTTATGGATCTTGTCATTCCCGATTTCAAATTGTTGTTTTGAATTTACTTTTAAAAGGAGGAGAAAGATTGCGATATTTGCGGCGTAGAGATTGCAGATGGAGCTGCTGCGATCAACGTACATCCTTTCAAAAGAAGCACTGCGTTTCTTCTGGGTAATGAGGTAACTCAATCAATTTTCACAAAAGCTTTGAACTTTAGCTATTTTGTGAACTTTGAATTTTAGCAATCTTTAGTCCATTTCATCTGTGAACAATGTGGGAAGAAGTGGATCAATAGCAACTTGAATGGTTTCAAAGACAATTTTTAGGAGAACAGAAATAGGAGTGAAGTTATTGCAAGACTTAGTTTAAATTCTCCAGCTTTCTTATGAAATTCTCTCGCTATTCAAACTCTTTCTGTGAACGATTTTCAGAGACTATTATTTTGACTTCATTGGTACAGAAATGGGTAATAAGCATTCAAGATTTGATGATCATTATTACTTAATGGCAAAGTTTGGTTTATTTTTTTGTTTGTAGGGAACAGGATTATCTGCCAAGGAATATGAAATATGTGACTTCTTTGTATATATTCCTCAGTACGGTTGTGGCACTGCCTCCTTGAATGTTACTGTTGCAGCTTCTATTGTCTTGCATCATTTTGGAGGTAATGGTTAATGAAATGGACTTTATTATAGTCATCTCTATAGAAATGAGTAGAGTGTTGCTTTGCTTAAAAAAGGATTGGTTTTGTTACAGTTTGGGCGGGATTTTCTGAACGTGACCGAGATGGAAGCAAATTTATAGTGGCTGATAAACCAACAAGGCAAGGGAGACGGAATTTCTGTGCTGGTACAGAAGAATCCATCGTTGAAGAGCGGAAGTTGAGGAAAGAAAGTGCGGAAAATGGGTTTTTCGACGAAAATGGAAACGGGAATTCGTCATCGGAGCTTTTGAACGGTTTGTTCCTTGACGAATAAAGTGTCTTTGAAAAGGACAAAGATTTGATTTTTGAGTTCAAATCATGGGGAAGATCAGGAAACATCCCCTTCAATATATAGAATCAAGCGGAGTCAGCTCCTCGTGCCTGTTCATTGCTTAGTTACGAGATCCTCTAATCTTTGTTTTGCAAGTAGAGACAGCTGATTAGGAGAAGTTGATTACTTGATCTTGATTTGTTGATTTATGAACACATGTTTGAAGATGGTTTCAGGTGATAGAAGAATCTCATTGTTGTGTCTTTGCATTAATCTTCATATCAACATTTCCACTAGACATCTGATCAATTTCTTATAGTAATCGTCTTCCTTTGTTATTGATATCAAGTGTATGCTCATGAACTTGTTAAAATATGATTTTTTTTATTAACACTTCAGTTATTACATGAAAATTACATGAAACTTCTATTTTTTTTTTTTTTATTCTTTGAAGAAGTTAAATTTTTGGTTCATTATCTTACAGAAAAAATCAAAGCGTTTTTTTTCAAGCAACAACTTGAGCAGCTGCTAGCCTTGCAATGGGAACTCTGCAACAACAAAAATCCACAATAATTACATCAAGATGAATGTTATTTTTTTAACAAAAAGAAAAATTAGGATTTGATTGAGCAAGTAGTAACTAAATATTTACCTGAAAGGAGAACAAGAGACATAGTCAAGTCCTGCTTCAGCAAAGAATGCTACAGACGATGGCTCTCCTCCATGTTCTCCACATACACCAACCTGTTTATTTCAAAACTCAGATTCAATCCCAAATTCTCAAATTCCATTTTTGAATTCGATTTTGACAAAACTTACCTTGAGGTTAGGCCTAGCTGCTCGTCCTCTTTCAGTTGCCATCTTGATCAATTGTCCTACACCTTTCTGATCAAGAACCTGATACCAAAAACATAAACAATGGCCATCAAGTCTCTACCTTTTAAAGAAAGTAAATGGAACTCTTAATTAGAAGTTTCATATACCTCAAAAGGGTCATGCTGTAACATTCCTTTGGCGAGGTAAATCGGTAGAAACTTCCCAACATCGTCTCTACTATATCCAAACGTCATTTGGGTCAAATCGTTTGTGCCAAACGAAAAAAACTCTGCCTCTTCTGCAATCTGTTTTAAACAAAGTTCTTAAACTTTAGCAACTTCCCCTTGAACATGGTTTAGTGACCAAACAAACAATTTAGTCTAGTAGCTTTACCTCATCTGCAATGAGTGCGGCTCGAGGGATCTCAATCATTGTCCCGACCTTGTAGCTCACGGTATGACCCATCTCAGCAAACACTTGCTTTGCAACTTTCCGAATTACATCAACTTGGTGACCCAATTCCTGTCATTACCATCATGCTTTCTGGTTAATCTTTTCTTACTTATGTTGCAAAGAGTATATATGTTTAACATACATACCTGAGGAGTTCCTACAAGTGGAACCATAATCTCAGGAAGAACAGTGATGCCTTGGTCCTGCATCGACGCTGCTGCTTCAAAAATTGCACGCGCTTGCATTTCCGTTAGCTCTGGATACGATATTCCAAGCCTAAAATGCACAAATTAACAGTTCAGGTCAACAGAGAAAGCGAGAAAGCAAGAAAGCTAAATAGCAAGAAAGAAAGAAAGCAAGAAAGCTAAATTTCTAGAAAGCAAGAAAGCAAGAAACCTGCAACCGCGGAAACCAAGCATTGGGTTCACTTCAGAGAGTTTCTCTATCCGTGACAAGATTTCGTCTTCTTTCATGCCTGTTTCTGCAGCTAGCTCGTGTACTATGTTGTCCAAATCACCTTCCGGGAGAAACTCGTGAAGCGGAGGGTCTAACAAACGGATTGTAACTGGTAAACCTAGAAAAACACAAGATCAAAGTTTTAAGTTCTGACTCAAAAGATTACATTATTGAAAGAGGGCTCAAAACATTTTACCATCCATTGCCCGGAAGATCCCTTCGAAATCTGAACGCTGGTAAGGAAGCAATACGTCTAGAGAAGCTTTCCTTTGCTCTGTTGTCACCGCCATTATCATCTTTCTCACAGCTTTAATCCTATCTGAGCCAAAGAACTTAGCAACCAAACCAAAAGACAAACATGTAAGATTTTGAACTCCAAAAAATCAAAGAACATGGATCAAGAACAGAGAAGGAGTTACCATATGTTCTGTCCTACAAAGCCCGATCCCTTCCGCACCGTTTTTCCTCGCAGCAGTCGCGTCTTCAGGCGTATCCGCATTCGCCATAACCTTATTGATGACCATCGAGACATTTCAGTGACAAAAAAAGCTTAAAGGAATGTCAAAAAAAATTTCAAAGCAGCTCAGAAACTCATTAAAACACCTTGAGACGTCTGATTCCATCAGCCCAAGACATGAAAGTCTCTAAATCAGCACTCAAAGCCGGAGGAGCCAATGCTTGTTTCCCCAATATAACCTCACCCGTTGATCCGTTCATCGAGATCCATTCTCCTTCATTTATCGCCAAATCTCCAATCGAAAGAACCTGGTTTTTCAAAAACCCTAACTTGAGAAACAATCTTCCCCCACAAAATTTCCAAAGATGAAATGTTACCTTATGGTTTTCGTCGACACGGATCTCGGAGCAACCGGCGATGCAACATTTCCCCCAACCACGAGCCACAACCGCCGCGTGTGACGTCATTCCTCCTCTCGCCGTCAATATACCTTCCGCTGCGTGCATCCCTCCAACATCTTCAGGGCTTGTCTCCGTTCGAACCTAAAAACCAATCTCATTACACGGTTCGTTCAGACAAGATTTCACAGTGTCGTCTGTGTATAATCGGAGATGTATTATGAGTTTTGATCTTACCAGAATCACATTTTTGCCCTGAGAATGCCAAGCTTCGGCTTCCTCCGCCGTGAACACAACTTGACCAACCGCCGCTCCTGGAGACGCCGGTAAGCCTTTCGCCACCACTTTTTCACGATACCCCGACGGTTCATGAAACTATTTCATCACAAAAAAAAAATAAAAAAACAAAACTTTCATTGACCCATTTCATCTATTACGTTTAATAATCATCTCTGTTTTTGATCCCTAAACCCTAAACTGCTAAAACCCATTTCCTTCTTTGTTCGAATAACCAAACATTATACCAGTGAATTTTTGGCTTTACATGTAAAGTTTGAACCTTTTTGAGTTTATAATATGCATTACCTGTGGGTGAAGTAGTTGATCAAGATGTTGAGGCTCCACCATTTTGATAGCAGAAGATTTATCCACAAGCCCTTCACTAACCATATCAACTGCTATCTTCACTGCACCTTTACCGGTTCGCTTACCCGTTCTACATTGCAGCATCCACAATCTTTCTTCTTGGACCGTGAATTCGATATCCTGCAATACACAATTGGAGACATTGTTCAAACTAAATTTGTGCTCTGTTTTCTTCTTGATGAGTACTTATGAGAATTGTATGTATACTAACCATCATGTCTTTGTAATGCGCCTCCAAAATGTCGCAGTTCTCAACAAGTTCCGTGTATGCCTCGGGCATTAGTCTCTTCATTGTATCCAAATCTTGTGGTGTTCTTATCCCTGCAACCACATCTTCTCCCTGTCCAAAACACATTTTAGTGTAAGACAAAGAAACGGTATTTATAACTTAAAACCAATTGTCAATTATTTGAGATTACTTGGAGGAAACTAAAAGAGTTTAGTTTGAGATGCCAAACCTGAGCATTGACAAGAAACTCGCCGTAGAGCTTCTTCTCTCCGGTACTAGGGTTCCTGGTGAAGAGAACACCAGTCCCTGAAGTGTCTCCCATGTTTCCAAACACCATACACTGAATGTTAACCGCGGTTCCTTTCAATCCGGTTATCTGGTTAATGCTTCTGTACTTGATAGCTCTTGGACTATCCCAAGAATCAAAAACCGCTTCAATCGCTAGCTCCAATTGCTTTTTCGGATCTGAAAATTATCCGGTTAAAGACTTATGAAACTAAAACATGAATGTTATACTTAATCTCAGATTAGAAAAATACAGGAATCAAAATCAAACCTGAAGGAAACTCTTGACCCTTGACCTGTAAGTAAACACTCTTGTACTGCTCAACCAATTCTTTGAGATCGTTCGCGGTTAGTTCAGTGTCGTTTTTTACATTTTTTCTATCCTTCATATTCTCTAGCTTTTCTTCAAACTTGGCGTGTGGAATCCCCATAACCTTTTTTGGTCAAGAAAGCATTGAGAAGGTGGGTCAGAGAGCTTTCTTGACATGCAAGTTACTCTTATATTGTTATGGAACAGAGGACTTACAACATCACCAAACATATCAAGAAAACGCCGGAATGAATCGTAAGCGAAACGCTCACCGCTTTTGGCGGCCAAACCGACGACAACTTCGTCGTTTAAGCCAAGGTTAAGTACAGTGTCCATCATACCTGGCATTGAAATCTACAATACAAATATATCGATCATAAACAAGGTTAGGTACACCAAAAAAATTATACTAAATCTTTTCCTCAAACGAATCTATTAACTTCATAACATCCAAATGTGACCTAGGAGAAATTTCTTTAATATTTTCTTCATATTAATATTATAACTAAAGTTCTGTCACTATGATCCTCAATGTAATAAACAATTAAGATAATAAAAGGTTAGAATATACTTATCCAAACAATTTCTTTTTTTGAAACACCAAAAAAATATGTGAAGTTAATAATCAACAAATTAATTTTTTTTTCCTGGTTAAAAAGGCTTTTCTACGTCTTGTTTTTCTTTTTCTTCTTAACAACATATAAATTATGTTCATACAAAAAAAGCATATAACTATGTTTGTATATACTTACGGCGGCGCCGGAGCGAACGGAGAGGAGGAGTGGCTTGGAGGGATCGGCTAAGGAAGCTCCAATGTCTTGTTCGATGAACCTAAGACCTTCTAAAATCTCTTCCCATAAACCTTCTGGAAGCTTCTTACCGGCAATCTGATATTGCCGACAAGCCTCCGTCGATATGGTTAGTCCCGGTGGCACCGACAAGCCTATGCTCGCCATCTCCGCCAGGTTCGCTCCTTTACCTCCCAACTTCATATAAAAACATTTTTGATTAAGAAAAGTTTTAAAACAAAACATTGATTAATGTATATATAGTATGATTTGGATGATATATGATGATACATACCAAGGACTTCATGCCCTTGTTGCCTTCGCTTCTTCCTTTTCCAAAGGTGAACACTCGCTGCATCATGAATTTTCTTTTTGTTTTTGTTTTTGGGATTGAATTTAGATTGCAGAAATGTTTGTGCAAGTTCAAGAAGACATGAATGTGTCTCTCTCTATATATAGTAAAAACTAACAGTTGGAATAGATAAAATTGATCAATTCTATCCAACTTAAATAGGACATGACTATTTTATCTGTCAGCTAGATATACAATGTTTCTGATTTAAACTAAAATAAAAATAGAAAAAATAAAACTGAATACTAAAACCATATATTCATTAAAAAAAAATAGTTTACTGAAAATTTTAAGATAAAAAACTTTATTTTAATTTAATAGATAAAGTTATATTTCTCATTAACAATCAGTTGCTTTTAAGATCAATTATTTAATTATAATAAAAGTAATACTCAGTCGAAATTTTATTAAATATAGATGCATGTAAGTCATTTATATTTGTTTGTTAATAGAAATCATAAAGCAATTTGTATTTTTGCGTGGTACGTCATCAAATTCAAACCACATTGTTATCTTCTCAAGATATATTACAAAATTCCAACCTCGAAGTGCTAAATTTGTAGTATTATTGACCAAAAGTTATAGAAGTTTTAGTTCGGTGACTCATAGATGTGTCAACCATATCTGATCACGCAAATACTGTACTTTTACTATCTACCACCACTCTCTCAATCGAATATTCTCTTCGTTTTTTGGCAACTTTTTTTTGTTACTTAAGCCAAGAATTTTATTGGCGTTTTGGTTTTTTTTTGTTTTTATTGCCATTAGGACAGATTCTTCACGTATACTTTTGTATTATTACAAAACGTGGCATTGGCCGACCTACCAAGTGGCATAAGAATCTAAGTGCAGCACAAGCCCTTGTGTTATCGACCGCAAAAGTATCCACGGTTCACTTAGGCTTTAACCCACCAAATTGGACCGGGATATTCATTAAAACATAACTGGTTAACTAAGCCGGAGTTAGATCATATTTACCATTAACCTAATAACCTCTCTGCGATTAATAATGACCTCGAGCATCATTTTAACTTCAAACCGTTCGATGTTTAAACAAGAGTTACGGAACCAATCAACATCAACAATCCTCTCACAAGACAAAAACCAATGTCACGATGGCGTAATCGATTTTGTGTTCTAGCCAGGAGAATGCAAACCAAGTATCTATCTCCGGTTTTCACTCGCATACGAGTTCAATTCAAATTATTAAAATAATTGAGCTGCTAGATGGTTCGATCCAATGATCGCTCATAATTTCTATTAAGAATCTCACGTCTAAAATAAACTTGAAACATAATAAGTGTAAAATCAAAGGTTATGGAAGTATCTAGGTCCAAAACCATAGGACCCACAAGAAAGATCGAAATGGAAGACTAACCTTTTTGGTTATGGAAGCGGCCGGATCAGACACAGGGCTAAGGACGGCTCGAGCTTTTGTCCGACGATGCCAACCGGTCTTTGCTAAGCTGAACCGTTGGCAATAGATTGTACCGATTTTAGCAAACCGGTTTGACTCATTACCTAGCCGGTATGATCGACTAGCCAATCGATTATCGCCGCGATCCGTACGGTACATTCCATCTCCCTTGAATAGCTCTGGTGTTGTCTTCAGGATCATACTTTTCATTTTCTTTTATATAAAACTTAAATCACTATCTAAATAAATAAAATATATCTTCCCTTTAAGAGTTTTTATAAATTGGTGTTTGATGGTGAGCTTGTAGAAATGGCGGACGTTTTATAAATTTCTTTCTCTGACCCAACTTTGTTTTTTTTTTTGTTGGGTTCTTATTAGATACAAAGACTTTCTGTGATCTCTTTTTATTTTTAAATTTTTTGGGGGTTTATAGATTTTGGTTTGACGAGTGACGTGAGTGGATCTTAGATAGATGTGGTTATGATTAGCCAATGTGTCGATTCCATGGTTGTTCTTCCGCTGTCTATCAACGACCATATAAGTGGCCACAATTTCAATTAATTTCTTAAGATTATTAGTTTTTTGGAACACGAATAAGATTCAAAAGAATTTTATGAGGGCATACTGCATACATATTGTAATAATTGAGACCGATGGAGATCTCAACTCTATCTTACATTTACGCGATATTAAGCTCTTTTTAAATGTTACAAAAAAAATAATTCAGCTCAACTCTATCTTATTTGTATACGTGATATTTTTTTGGGTTTATTTCCCACAAGTTATGAAATTAGAGAAATAATTGAGATCGACGGAGTACGAATTAATGAAGCTAAAAGTGTTTGTGGTGGTGCTTGGTGTGAAAGTGACTTGCCAGGTTCCAGGAGAGGTATGTGGCCATATAATTCAACTATATTTACAGTTTACATTTCAATAAAGTTTATATATATCATCATTTTATTAAGTTCTAGAAGAATGTCGAAGAGAAAACAAACGAATTCTAAGTTTTTGAATGTGATTTAATTTCTTTTTGAAAATTAGCTTAGAAAGATAAATGTTTTTAGTAATTTCATAAGATTTCATCTCGTGTAAACACTAAACAGATGTGTTAACGTTTTAAATAATTTATCAGTCATGCACGAGTTAAAGTTAGCAATATGAAAAAAAAAAAAAAAAAACAATTTCAAAGAATCTACTAAGGTAAACACATATAATTGGAGCTTGAAATGATGTGTATGTGTTTAATCTTCATGTATTAATTACAGTATTTAAATATACGATGCAAGCATGCATGGCACATAGCTTGAAAAACATTTTCATTTCTTTTGAACATATGGAAACGTATGGCAATACAAATAAGTGAAAGAGAGGATTATAACTTCCGAAGAATCTGGAAGTGTCCTACACATTCATGCTCGATGATGTATATATGTGCCATGCTCTACTGAACTTTCTGGTGATTTTTCGTTGTAAAAACATACATATCAGATAACTCCAAAAACTCATTATAAAATAGTGAACTGTGACTGTCACGGGGAAGATCTGAGCGATCGCTTGATGGGATCCAGTGAGTGAGAGACGTAACAAAATGGGCTGTATTACTTGTTTATAGGTTAAGAGATTACAATAGATGCTAATGCTCTACATAATTAAGGGACTGAGACTGCGAAACACGTTAATGTTGTATATTATATGGCAAAAGCTAGTAATTAGCAAACACAAAACATTATTGTAATTGTAAGAAAATGATCTTTGACTTTATTTGTCAATTATTTTTGTCTCTTTTCAAGGGTCTTATGAGTTATTATCCTATTAATTCAACACCACACATTATGTCATATCACAAACACACAAAAAGACAGAGCATACGTGACCACATTCTCTATATCCTTCACGTCTATCAAGCAATATCAACATTACATAACCGAACCCGAATCTAACCCAAACCATGATTGTATTATTTACTTTAAAAATACGGGTTTGTATTTTCCTAAAGTCAATACTTTAGTGTTGACATGCATTAGATTTTGCGTGATTTATCTCGATCGATAAGAATCTAATATGTACCTAAGAGTTGTTTGGTTTAGACTCGAAATTCGGATTGAATCCGGTCTAAACCGTCTCATAACCGAATACCGATCTATCCTTACCTGGTATAGTACAACAACAACAAGATGAACGGCTAATATAAATTTTAATAGTATCAAATTAAAAAAAAATGAAGAACGGCTAAAATGATGTTTGAATTAAAACATGTTCATGTGATTCATAAAGAAGCAGTACAGAGATAGAAAATGAAAAAAAATCAAAATCAAAATGTGTAAATTAGTCACATTGCCACTGTAATCTGGCTTTTCCTCCATGCCCAATAGTTAGCTCTTATAGGATCTACACGACCGAGAATGGTACACAGCAAATTGGCCAAGTCAGTATCTGGTTCTTCACTAGCTAGAGCTTTCACCGAGTCTCTATGCTCGCTGGTTGGTCTCAATCCGTTGCATAGAAGATCCAAAAGGGTGCTCAGAGCAAATCCATGGAAGCAATCTGTACGAGAGAGAACTCTCAAACAGACTGAGGAAACACTAGGATCACTAATCCAGGACTCTGTGTCGTCTTTGAAAAGACCTTTCAGGTATCTCCACAAGCTCTCGTTTGCAGGATTGGCTAAAATGGCTTTGACTGTGTAGCTTACTTCAGATTCTCTCATGGCTTGTAAGCCTCCCAACGAGGGAGATCTAGTAATAACGTAATACCTCTGCCAGATTTAAGGGAATGGAGTTATTCAAAGAAAGTGACTGAATTGGCAAAGATAAATTTGGTAAACACAATCTAGCGTATGTATCGATGGATCATATTACCTGATTCCAGGCAGAATTGTTAAAGACGTCAGCTTCAAGGAGCTCGTGACAGTAATCAAGCTCATTTTCCCATCCTCCTAATGCTTGTAGTGTCCACTGCAGATTGTTTCCCAGCATCAAGCAAGAACATAAATATTAAATCAAGTGAGTGCTTTAACAAAGGTGTGAGATCACAAACCTGCCTGTGTGACCAAGCATGATAATGTTTGGCATCAAGTGAAAGTACCCTCCGAGTAAAGTCAAGTTCCCTCCACGCAACATCAGGACCCAGTTTCTCAGCAACCCATCGCCGATGATGCCTAGAGCAAAGGAATAATTAGAGCAGAACCATCGATCATCACAAACCGAAGCAAACAACCAAAGGGTTACTTTTGTTTGACACTATGGACTTTTACAATGTGTAAAAGAACAAACTTTGATTTCAAATATAATGAACATGCATTATAATAATTCCCACAAAAGATATCGAGTAAAACATTCTCCAGTTTATGACAAATGTAGACAATCACATAAAGCAAACATATACAGTTCTTGGTTCAAAATCATTCATAGATAAAGAAACACTCTCACGAAGAAAAAGGTGTTAAAACTTACCACAATTGGTAGTTCTTAGAGTTATCTTCAGAGATGCGCTCGATGAATTCGAGTTCTTGATACAAGTCGTGATTAAGCGCCTCGAGTACTAGTCGCCTGAAATGCCAGACCTTTCAAAGGCAAAGTTAAGAACAAGATTGTTAAGAATAAGATTCAATGCAACGAGGACTAAATAACCAAGCAGCCTGCAAAGCATAGAAGAATCATTACTGTGTAGTTCCCGGAGTTTAAGCGGAGGGTTTCTTCAGTGAGTCGTAGTGCGCGAGGAGATCTCTCGTCGGAGAAGTAAATTGCACGGAAGTAATCCATGGTCTCGCGGAACTCTTCCTTGTAGGCGATCGGAACCACCGGGTTCGAGCCGTCGTTCTGAGTCAACGGGACCACGTCCGACCACTCGGGCCGCTCGCTTAGTGGCACGGTATCGTCGGAATCCATTTGCTCTGCGTTTCTTACCGGCGATGAAGAAACCCACTTTCTGATGTTCTCTGCCGAAATCCAAACAATTTATATTTCGTAAGGAAATTCAAAACTTTAGGTCAATGGGTAGACGAAATTTAGGGTATCGACAATAATTTGATTCCCAATCCAAAACTTATGAGTAGAGTACGATTCTACGATAGAAATTAGTGTTTATCAATCGCTCAAAGGATCCTACGACGAAGTAATTCGAGAATCGAGATGGGCACAAACCTGACGGATGCGAAAGCAAATATGGATCTCAGTGGGAAAATCGAAGGAAGGATTATTCGAGCGCAGAGGAAAGAAGAACAACGAAGGTTGTCTTATATTATTCTTTTTTTTTTTACAACATCAACACCATTTTATTAGGAGAAAATTTTACACCTCGTGTTCGAGCAGCTTTTGCTAGCTTATCGGCACGGACATTACAAGATTTAGGACATGATATAATTTAGGACATGATATAATCTAAACGATCTAAAACAACGTGATAAAAATCAAAAATCCTCTAACTCTGCTGTGAATGTAGGCCAGTCCGAAAGGTTATAGTGATCAAATCGGAGCAGTCTGTATAGAAGATCTCGCAAACCACATGTGAGGAAAGAATGCATTTCATAGCCCATAAAAGAGAGTCCAGCTCTGCGTGAAGGGGAGATAAGCTTTGGCCAGCACCTCTAAGACCTACAAGGGAAATGTTACGGCCAGAGAGAATGACCCACCCTTGTCTGCTGATCGGTGCCGTTCCAAGCCATAATCCATCAAAATAGCACCCTGTCTCGACTGAGGTAGGAAGCTTATCTGGCATAGGCTCTGGGTCCTGACAAATGACTCCATTGTCTACAGTATTCACGTACCTCCACGCTTCTTCCTCTACCTTTGCATGATTAAGGATATCAGGCGGGAGTTTGTCCCGGTTTTGAAAACTTTTCTATTTCATGCTTTCCACAGAAACCACATAATCCAGGGAAAAATATGGAGATGCTCTTCGCTTAGTCCAGAATCACTTGCTCTCCAAAATAGGTAATCTAAGTTACCATAAATGGAGGATAAGGGGAAAACGTCTAGAGATGAGAGAATCGTCGAAAGAGCCAAACTTGCTTAGACAGAGGGCATTCAAAAAGCATGTGATTTATTGTCTCCTCCTCTGCCCCACATCTCGGGCATTCTTTATCACGTCCGTTCGATATGACGGGAGAATAGACGTTGACACGTCGATACACTACCATTAACGCATTGCCAAACAAAGTGCTTGATCTTGCGTGTGGTTTTTAGTTTCTATGCCTGCACCTTTAAGACCGAAAAATCGGGTCCCTGAACAGGGAGGTCACAGGTAAGACGAGATAAGGCTCTCGCGTTCTAATATCCAGACTTGACAGTATAGTTTCCGGACTTAGTGAAAATCCAGCTATACCCATCTCTCGAGAAAGCACGACTCGGACGTAACCCTAAAATAAGGGTAATCTCCTCGAGAGGGAATAACTCTCGAAGACGGTCTACTTTCCACTGCTTCGTCTGAAAGTCAATAAGAGTATTGACGAAGAGAAGGGGATTCCGATCCATCAAAAGCCCCTTCGGGGGTCTAGCTGGGAAGTCGGGGATCCATGGCTCAGACCACACACAGGTGTCAAAACCAGAGCCTATGGTTTTCCGAATCCCGGAGGCGAGGAGCGGTTTTGCTGCCAATATACTACGCCATCCTTAGGAAAGCCGGTTAGAGACACTAACTTCAAGAGGACTGCACAATTTAAAATATCTCCCCTTTAATAACCGACATAAAAGGGAATCTGGAAATCGCAGAAGTCTCCAGAGTTGTTTAGCTAGCAGTGCAATGTTAAAATCTTCGAGGGTCCGAAATCCAAGGCCAGCCTCCTTCAAGGGATCACTCAGGGAGTTCCATGCCATTCAATGAATACCTCTACCCTCACTCTTAGAGCTCCACCAGAAGTTCGCAATTGCACTCTTAAGCTTAACACATAGGGCTTTTGGTAGGAGAAAACACGACATAACATATGTCAGAATTGCTTGTGCCTGAGATTTTATCAGAATCTCTTTGCCACCTTTAGAGAGAAGTTTCGATGACCAGGATTTGACCCGGCTTTGCAGCCTGTCCCGAACAAAGGCAAACACCTGGGCTTTAGAGCCCTGAATCTTCTCTGGGAAGCCTAGATAGGTCCCCATACCTCCTTCTTGGGAGATTCCGAGGGTATCTTTAATCTCTTGTCTTATTGTCGTAGGCACGTCATTGCCAAACATTATGGAGGATTTCGCAAGATTGATTTGTTGCCCCGACACCTCGCCATAACGACGGATAATATCTATGATTTCTCTGCTCTGACTGATGTCCGCCTTGCAAAAGAAAAGGCTGTCATCCGCGAACAGGAGATGGGAGGTGGGGGCTCGCTCTTGCAATTTTTATCCCTTGGATCTTGTCATCGTCTTCAGCAGCACGGAGCTGAGAGATAAGGGCTTCTGTGCATAGTATGAAGAGGTAAGACAAGATCGGGTCCCCTTGCCTGATACCCCTAGATGGTCTGATTTTTCCTCTTGGTTTACCATTTATCAAACGCTGTATTTCACTGAGGTGATACAGAACATGACCCAGTCAATCCATCGGTTATCAAACCTCATCTTTTCCATCAAAGATCTCAGGAAAGACCATTCAACTCTATCATATGCCTTACTCATGTCTGTCTCTATTGCCATAAACGTTTTGCGACACGCCGGGTTGGAGCGTAAAGCATGGAAGTTTTCTTGAGCAATAAAAATATTATCCGTGATTAGTCTTTCCGCCACAAAGGCTGACTGGGTCTCGGAAATTAATTTCGGAAGAAGTTTTTTTAAGCGTAAGCTCAAGACTTTAGAGATAATCTTATAGGCTACATTACATAAGCTAATCGTTCTGAAGCCTGACATCTCTCTAGGGCGATCACCCTTAGGAATAAGGCAGATGTTAGTTTCATTTAGTTGTTCATCGAAAGTACCAGAGCGTTGGAAGTCTTTTATCATCTAATAAGGTATCCCTTGATCGTTCACCAAAATTTCTAGAAGAAGAGGGATGTAAAGCCATCGGGTCCTGGAGCTTTGCCTAGATTCAAGGAGAAAAGGGCTCGCTTCACTTTTTCTTCTAATGCCTCCCGTGTCAATCTTTCGTTCATCACCAAAGTGACTTTTACGGGGATATTTTAAAGTACAGAGGAGGGGTCTCTCGAATTCGAGGATGCGAAGAGCATTTCAAAGTATCTAATAGCTATTGATTCCACTCCCTTCGCATTATCCACCCATTCACCATCAGGACTAAGAAGACCTAGAATCTTGTTCCTTGCTCTCCTCTGCTCAGTAGTGGCGTGAAAAAACTTGGTATTTTTATCGCCTTCTTTTAACCAAGTTGCTGTACTCTTCTGTTGCCAATAGAGTTTCTCCTCTCGGTAAGCTTCACATAAGCGCCTCTTGATGATTAGAATGTCTTCTACTGAGACATTGTCATCTTCCACTGCTTTGTCAATCTCATCTTGGAGTTGCTTAATTAATTTTTGAGAATTCGTAATTAACCTTTTTTCCATACCGAGATGGCTTGGCGACATTTCCTTATGCGAAAAACGAAAGAACCATGGGCTCGTAATAGAGGTTCTCCCCAACCTCGCTTTACGGACTCTTCTAGACCTGATTTGCCATTCCACCGTTTGTCAAACATAAATCTCTTATAGAGGCACATTGGTGAGTTCCCTATATATGCAATAAGGGGTCTATGGTATGATCCCCACATTTTCAAATACTCCACACTAGTGTGGGAAAAGATGGTATGTCAATCCTCATTTCCTAAGGCTCTATCCAACCGACATTTGATAACACCATTTCTTCTCCTTCCGACCCAGGAGAGAGAGTTTCCTTGGAATGGGAATTCAATCATTCCATAATTTCGAATCATGGCTTTAAAAGGAAGAAAAGTGGCTTCTAAGCGTTTTTCCCCGTCACTTTTTCAGGATTGCCAATAATCTCATTAAAATCGCCGATGAAGAACCACGGTCCATTTCAGGAAATGCCAATACGGGATAAACGTTCCCATACATACTCTCGGTTTTTTACAACAGGATCACCATAAATGAAAGACATAAAAACACGATTGCCATCAAATATAGTCTCAACATCAATCAAACGATCATCTAAATGTAAAATCTTAGCCAGAAAATCCTTAGAATAAAAAAGAGCAATACCTCCATTGTTCCCTATTGGGTCAACAGTGTGAAGGTTATCAAATCCTAGAGAAACTTGCATATTCTGCAAAAAATAACGATTGTTTTTGGTTTCAGATAAAAACATAAAACCTCGAGAGTATTTGTGACATAACTCTTCCAGTCGGTGAGAGGTAAGCTCAGCTCCCATCCCTTGGAAAATCCACGCCAGAATCCTCATTTGGGTGGTTTGGGAGTAGCACGGTCCTCCAAACCAATGGTCTTCTTGCTCGGCTTTGCAGGTTTGCTAGTCGATGGTGCAGCGGACGTTGAAACGGTTGCATTAGCGGATGGGGGAACATGGCGAGGGGCTGGTCTTGGAGCGGTTCGAGTGCGGGATCCAGGGACAGATGTAGTGTTACTCGCAGGTATGTTGGCACGCTTCTTTGGGGAGTTCTTGTTCTAGAAAGGCTTAAGCTTTTTGGAAGCAGCTACAACCACTTTAGGGCTTCGGGATCGATTTCTTTTTCCGAACTGGAGACTGGTCTGGGGACCTCACCCTTTTGCTAGTGGGGGATTGGGAGACAGCTGGGGCCGTTGCAGAAGTCTTACAATTTGGGATCGCCACATCCGATATTGTACGCTCTAAACTCTCCACCATCTCTTCTGATGCGAGGTCTTCACCCAGAAGATCATCATCTTCCATAAGACCTTCGAATATCATCGCTCTCTCACAGTCGTCCAAAATGCACAGGTCATCTTCGGTGAGCTCAGTGTCATCCTCCACTCCATCAGCTCGATCTTCCTAATCGGTGGGGACATACTCAGTTCCAAGGAGACTCCCAACATCATCTGTTTCTGATACAGGGGCCAAAGGCGCCTTAAGAGGGATCTCCACTTCGGGAATTACCTCGCCAAAAGGCGGAGAGTGCATCACTCCAGATTGATGTCGGTGTGTCGTGAGGGTTGTCAAGTTTTACCCTAAATTAAATCAATAGCCGCAGGTGCACAGCTGATCGATTGTAGTACTTAGGGATCGAATCCACAGGGAAGGAGAATCTTTCCTGCAAAAGCCTTCGAAAGAAATATAAAGTATGGAAGTCTAGAACCAAACAGTTTTGTGGGGGGTTTTGGTGGTGTGTTTAATGTAAAAACGAATCCTAAAGAGAAAATACGAGAATTAAAATGACCTAATAACTAAACTTAACAAAAACGGGTAAAAACAGGAAAAACGGCTAACCTAATTGCTTAAATGAAAATCGATTGAAAAGCAATGAAAATATTGAACTAAAGCTTGAAATAAAACGGTGTAAATCTATAAGAAAGAAAGTGCTGGGCTTCAGGGAAGTTTTCTCAGGGGTACGAACGATTCAAAACATTGCTAGAGAGTAAATTTGATAAGATCTTAGCTTAAACTTTTCGAACTGGAGTTACGGACGTATGAATAAACCACTGTCGTGATCATAGACAACTATCTCTCTCAACCCTGACCAGTAGGTTTCCACTCTGGCCCTGGAAAAGAAAAGATGCATTATGTTTAAGACTCGTCAGCATTCACAAATCGCCCATAGGTAGGTTTCCACTCCTATGTTTGTTTTGCTCTCCTAAACTAGATCTGACACCGGATGAACACTTTCGTGTCACCAAGCATCTGGATCAGATTATAGTTCATGACGCTACTCTCATGTAGTAAAAACGAATTCAGAAGAAAAAGTTCTAAGATTCAGCTCAAAAGCTCATGGAATCCTCACCGAACATATAAATCCCCATCGAAAATCCCTTAATCCCAACAGTAAAACTAATCAGACATGATGAACGAAATAAAAAACATAGTATGAAAAAGTAGAATAAAAACCGAAATTGAAAAAGGAAGAACAAGGGTTCAAGAGACAAATCTCTCTCTCCCTAAAACCTAAAAACAAAGCTTAAAGTAAAATTTCTGTAAAGTATTTCGTCTCTCTTTTTTTTCTTCTAAAAACGATCTAAATGACATGTATTTACAATCTCCAATACTCTCTGGTGTCTAGGATTCCGGAATTGAGGCTAGAAAAATGATATGGGCTTCAGAAATGGGCCTTCGGGCTCGGAGTTAGCTGGCCGCGGTCGGGATGAGTGCGACCGCGGAAAATGGGTGGCTGGCCGCGGTCGCGGCGGTTGTGACCGCAGGGATTGGTCTGTTGGCCGCGGGTGAAAACGCTCGCCGGCTGGTTTACGGGACATCTTGCTCTTCGCGTATCTTTTGATTGAACCGTTGGATTGTCAAGCTGTAAAGTGTGCTGGAAATCTGATACTTCCATCTTTAAGGTCTCCAAATTTGAGCTGGATTAGACGGTGAGAAAACCTTCAATCGGGGGTGAAATTCTGACGGTTTGACTCTGAGCTGAAATCTGGTTTTCTATCCATTTTGTTAAGCTTTTCCCAAAGTTACCTGAAAAGAGTCTTGGAACTACAAATACTAGAAAAACGTAATAAAAGTACTTGAAACAATGGGAAAACGGTCTATTTCCCCCCATAACTTTCATATAATACTAGATCACCCTGAACTTTGAGCCTCGGTTTGTGTCTCCCTAAAACAAAAGTTAAATAGATTATTCCCCCTAGTTGCAAAGTTCGAGATCTATTTCCCCTTCAACCAAAATTTCGATGGTTTTACATCGGTTCCGCATGTAAACCGTAAACCAGACGTGTTGGACCGAAAACAAAACCGAAATAAAAACCAAATCCGATCCTAGATCCGACCCATTCCCCCGACCCGTTCCCCAATTAAAATCCCCAAATTGAATATAAACCCTAAAACTCAGTTTTCCAAAATCAAAATCAAAATCGCGAATTCGAAATCAAAATCGCGAATTCAAAATCAAATCTAGTGGAGGATGAGCAATATATCCGGCGCATCTAGTGGAGTATCAAATGGTGGCCGAGATCGAGGAAAAGTCATGGGAATTCCGAGAAGATGTTGGTGTGGAGAAGAAATCATAACAAAGATATCCCGATCGGATTCAAATCCATACCAGCGCTATTTTAGGTGTTCTTTAGCTGTTGCAAAGAAGGTAAGCTAAGTACATATCGATTTTCATTTTGAAATTGTATATTCATGTTAACAATTTTGAATTGAATCAATTTTTGATCTAAATTTTGTAGCTTTCAAATGATAATCATGTGTTTAAGTGGGTTGATGAGGCTCTGCTTAATGAGATAGAGGCATTTGGTTATCGAGCAGAAAGCATTGAACACCAGATGAAAGAGCTTTCAAAATCACGTTTGGAGCTTGAGAAAATGGTGTATGACAAGATGGAAATGAAGCTACAGAATGAGATATTTGAGAAAGTTGAAGAAATAATTGGTGAAACTGAATCCAAGATGAAGAAAATGATGGTGCTTGCAGTCTTTGGGTGTGTGGCCATTGTCGGATTCAGCATGCTTTTAGGTTGAGTCTTGTATGGTTTTTAGTGTGTGCTTGTTGTTGTATGTTTTGGTTAGTATCTTTATCGACATTGATGGTCTATTTTTAGCAAATTAATGGCCTTGAACAATATAAATTGTCTGTGTGGTGTGTTGTTTCACATTTGGTTTCAAATTAAGATAGTAAACATTGATAAACAGGTTTTAAATACCAGAACAACACAAAGATAAGACATTGATAAACAGGTTCTAAATACCATAAAATAGGATTGTCTTACACCTAAAATAGAGAACAGAACATTGTTTTGTCCTAAAACCAAAAACCTGCAATGGAAAAACCAGCATCTTACACCAAAAACCTGCAACATTCCTAAAACTGAGCTACATATTGTCCTTAAACAGAAAAAAAGCTTCTACCGCCAAGCTTCCCATACTCTTCAATCACCAAGCTGAGTTAGAGTCCCTTGAGAAGACTCAAACGGTGTGAGATTCCCTTGAGAAGTCTGCACCTGAGAAGATTCATCCCAAGAAGACTCTCCTTCAAATCCCTGTACAGATATAACAACATACATGAACAAACATGACCATACACCAAAATCGCATATACTAAAGAAAAAGAACCACTAAACCTTTTTCTTTTTCTTGTCATGAAACCTTGAATTATGGTTAGCTGCACCACAAATCCCACAATGCATAACTCTCTTCAAGATTTTTGGTGCTTTCTTCACTAGAGATTCATTTTTGCCTTTCTTCCTTTCCTTATCCTTCTTACTAACTTTATGGGTTTCTCCTTTCTTCCTGGGAGGCGATTCCGGTCTTGGAGGTTGATGCACCGGTGGTTCTTGTCCTACAGGCCAAAACCTTGCACCTCTCATTGGTACTAGACCTTCTTGGTAAGTCCTTCTCCACAGAGCTGTCCTAAACCAGTGACAGACATAATCTTCAGCCTCCAACTTCTTGTTGATGATGACCGCAAAAGCATGCTCACAAGGAATACCTGTGATCTCCCATCTTCGACAAGTGCAAGTTCTATCTATCAAACTCACACGGTATGAACAGCCACTGAGTTTAACTTCAAATGTCGAATTTGTGGATATGTAGACCTGACAAAGCCTAGCTTTTTTATGCTCTAGAGCGAGATAGTCGATCACATACGGGGTGCAAACACTTTGCCAATCCATTGCTTTGTAACCCCTCCTTGCAATACGTACCATTGCCATCCTTGCGATTGTCTCCAGCATTGGAACCAGTGGTTTGTCTCTCGCTTTGACAATTGAACCATTCCATGACTCTGTAGAATTGTTCTCCACATCTTCACAGAAATTACCTATCTTGTGGTAGGCTCTACACCAAGTTTTCGGCTTTGTCTTCATCAGATTTGCATGTACAGCTGAGTCAAAGCAGAAGATTTTGTCCAAGTTCTCTTCATATTCGGTGTTGTTGTAGCTCCATGCTAAACGCCATATCAACTTCTTCATTTCAGGGTTCTTACCATGCAATGCTCTCATGTTAGCATAGATATGCCTAACACATTTCCGATGCTCAATCTGAGGGAGCTCTAGATCAACAGCAGCTATGAGTCCCTACAAAAAAAAAATAACAATTCACATTTTAGTAAAAACAATGTTAATACCCAAAAAAAAAACAGCAATCCAAATCAAATCAAATCAAAACAATGTTAACACCTAAAAACCAGACCAAAAACACTTACTCTATGTCTATCTGACATCATTATGTACCCATCTCCATCTTGCAAATCGAAATCAGCTTTGAGTTTCCTCACAAACCACAGCCAATTATCCTTGGTTTCAGCTTGTACAACCGCCCATGCTATTGGATAAATAGCATTATCCACATCTCGACCCATAACAACCAGTAACTGACCCTTCATCTTGTGTCTCAAGTGGCATCCATCAAGTCCAATAATCGGTCTACAAGTCTCTTTCCATGATTTTCTGATAACATCAAAACAGACATAGAATCTGTCGAAGACATCTTCACCTTGCTCGTTTCTAATGCACTCAAGCGCCACAGTAGATCCTTTATTCGCATCTAGTATCTCACGGCAATAGTCACGAAGCTTAGCAAACTGCTCATCATATTCTCTCTGGATCCATCTCAGAGCTTTGTTCCTAGCCGATTGACACTGATTCCTTGTCACTTTAATCCCCCATTTGTCCAATATCATCTCTTCAATCTTCATTGGCATATAATACTCTGGTTCTTCTCGGATTTTGTCAAGAAAGAGATGAGCAATCACAGGACCCTTTAACATCTCGCAAACACCATTAGGAATACAGCTATGAGCTTGTTTAAACGTCTTAACCTGCCACTTGATCTTCTTCTCCGAAGTCGAACAATAGATCCTCCAAGCACAACTATCACCATTTTCAGATTTACCTCGGCATACATAACTGAGTTTAGTTTTATCATACCTCCACTGCCTGATGTTTCGACCGGTTTTGAGTGCATAATCAAGCACAGCTTCTTTAAACGCCACTCCATTAAAGAACACTTTCCCTTCAAACACATTCCCAACGCCTCTATCAAATTCACCACTTTGACTACCACCTCTGCGACCATCACCTGGCTTGGGAACAGACATTGTGCATTGAGTTCCAGTTTCCTCATCATCGGTTTCAGGATACATGTTGTGAAGAACAGGATCTTCATCCTCAAACTCCAACAGCGCTTTCTCCATGTTGTAATCAGCTCTTTCTCGTCGATCTTCTCCGTCGGAATCTTCGTCTCGAAATTCAGGTACTTCTCTCCACTCCAATGCCTCCATGATCGAAAACGCTTTCCAATTTCGATAGAAGGTTTCTCAATTTGGGGGAATTTGAATTCTGGGTTCGTTTCTCAGGTTAGGGTTCTAACTGATTTGGGGATTTTGCTGTAATCGGGTTTTAGGTTGCAGTTTAGAGCTCGGGTGGGTTTTAGTTGGTTTTTACGGGTTGTAATCGGGTTGTAATCGGTTTAGGTTAGGTTAATTTTGGTTTAGCAACTAATTGGTATACAGTAACCAACTAAAAACGTGGGTTGGGGGGAAAAGGATTTCGAAATTTTGGTTGAGGGGGAAATAGATCTTGAACTTTGCAACTAGGGGGAACAATCTATTTAACTTTTGTTTTAGGGAGACACAAACCGAGGCTCAAAGTTCAGGGTGATCTAGTATTATATGAAAGTTATAGGGGGGAAATAGACCGTTTTCCCTGAAACAATTAAAAACATAGAAAAAGTATTTCAAAATGATCCATAAAAGTTGTCAAAATACGGTGTTATCACAGATCCAGAGCCCACCTCGAGAAGTTTGGGAGAGGATTCAAAATCGTCGGCGTCGCTATCTGCATCATCCTCGTCCTCCTCTGCTATTGCTATTCCTTTGCCTTTATCTTGTATGTCCGAATTTCTCACCGGTGGAGGTGGATTGGATGATGGCTCGACGATACGGATACTTGATTGGTGGCGAGGTGGTCGCGAGCTGCCCCATTGCTCAAAGCTCAGATCAGTGCGGGGAGGGGATCGTTGGCGCTGATCAGGAAGAGAGTTCCTGCGGTGCTGATCTTGATCATGGGTGTGGCTGTTCCTTTGCAAGCCGTGTAGATTTTCCCGGCTTGACACCACAAAATCCTGAGATCGTCTCTTTCTGGAGTCAGAAGAAGATTGAATTGATTGCTCCCGACTGCGGGGAAAGTTTGAAGCCGGTTCGCCACTGATACGTTTCCAGACCGAGTCCCTTCTCGCCTCGTGATGGTCACGTTCGTCTCCACTGTAGAGACTTCGACGGACTGGTCTGGAACGATGAGCATGTGAAAGAGAGGTAGCCTCTCTGCTCGGTATAGAACTTCGCCCTCCGACGTGGTGATTAGACTCTCCGAGGTGGGATGAACCTCTTGCGGATCTGCTCTGACCATCGTCTCTTCGGGAAAAGGGGCGTCTCCGGTCCACTTCTGCCACCTTCCTGCTCGGACGACCAGATTCCGGAGGCTGAAAGGAAGGTCTTGCCTCACGGAGCCTGCGACGGTCACATCTTATATTATTCCTTTTCCAAAAATTTAACATTTTGATAAGAACCTTCTGCCTGAGAGTTTTTTCTCCTCTCAGAGAGAGAAGAAGCCTTTTCTCTCATATTTCTGATCATTTGATCAAAGTTTTTTTCCGCATATATCGGATACTTAGTTTCCAACTTCGTTTGAATAGTAAAAACTCCAGCTTCAACCGGATTAGTTTTGCCCATCTCTTCCGCTGATGGTTCCTCTTATATTGAGGCGGTGCTTTCAGATCCGGTGGTTGTGTTGAAAGTATTGTTTTTCTTCAAGCTTTGGTATCATCCACTCATAGCTTGGGAGCAGAGATCTCCCTTAGTCCCTTTTTCAGAAGCCTTTTTCAAGGCATAAAGTGACGTTTAGGCATGAGTTTTGGCTGATCGGCGTTGAACTATGAAGAAAGGGAAACTCCCGGCTGAAGAACTTCACAGGATCTAATCGGAAGAGCATGTAAAGGTGAAGCATCAAACTTGTATGGTGATTAACGGTGTATGCGTTGGTTGGAATTTCGCCGGAGACGGTGAAGCGGAGCAGCAACACGGATATTCCTATGCCTTACACGTGTTTCAACGTGTAGAAAGTTTAACGTGTGCAAAGACACGTGGCAGAAGGATATATTGAGGCTCATCTTGAGTTTAATGTATTTTATTTTATTTTGGACTTTTATTACTGTGTTGTATGTTGTTTTGCCTTAGTGGGCTTTCGTTATAAAACGAATTTAATGTCCAAAAAAAAAACATTTTGATAAGAAATTCTGAAATCTCAAACTAAATTTTATGTTTACATATTGTTAATTATTTATAACGCAATTTAAGTAAGTGAGTAGTAATCAACCAATCGCTGGCAAAAAAAAAAAAAAATTTCCAGTGTATCCATTATTCTGCAAATGGGTCAAGTCAAATTCTTCACAAATTCATTGCTAGTATCAACTATGATGCCAAGAAATCTCTTCATCTTAATATCAGCTCAGTTGCATAAACGAATAGGAAACCACATTCAAGAAAAAGAGTGCAGTGAAGATGTTTTCAATTAATAAATCTTTTATGAAGCCCGAAATAGATTTAACAAATAGCTTATTAACGGGAAACAAGTGACTCACAAGGTAGTTGGCCATTATTTCTTTGGCTTTTTCATCATTGAGATCCACACGGCTAAGGAATCCATTTATGTGGAAGCGGCGAAGCGCTACAAGAACGACTTTCTTGCATTAGTGAAACTTATCAAAGCTGACCCGAGAAGAATCCCACACCATCTTAAAAACTTGTTCCAATATGTCACCATGTTATTGAAGTTTGATTATCAGTTAACACTTCAGATTTCCCAAAAGTTCTTCATGGTATTACATTTACACACTTTAAAATGAGTTATTATTGCTATGTAGTAAGTGTTTTATTAATTTTTTTTATAAGTAAAAGTGGATTTGGAAACTGGTGTGTTGCAAAGTCAAAACTTTGCGTAAAGATTTGATGATGGAGCCCATTTACTTATCTCTTACAATAATACTTGTCTGATTTTCTTTTATATATAGCATGTACTTGTCCATTGTAAGATACACCAAAATAAAAATACAAAATCTCTCTCTCCCTCTTTGGTACACATCTCTCTATTTTTATTTTCATTATTACGTTTTATTCAAATAATTATGTTAATGTTATTCACATATTATGTTGATATAATATACGGTATACGATATAATTAAACACGTTATCAGCACGATCACTCTACCTCTATAATTTATAATTTTTAATTATATAATTATTATAATTAGAGTGCGGCTTTGCCGCCCCATTATTATTTACTGCTTTCATTATTTACTGTTTTTTATCATGGTTGCTTAACGCACCATAATGGACGGTTAAACCGCCTAAATAATTTATTTTATTTTATATGGATGATTCTGTCACCATATATTTATTTACTTGCACTGTTTAATTATTATGCTTATATGGATGATTTAAATCACCATAATTTATTTATTTATTGTTTTAATATGGATGACTCAGTCACCATATATTTATTTACCATGCTCATATGGATGACTTAAGTTACCATTATTTATTTATTTACTGTTTAATATAGATGATATGGTCACCGTATATTTATCTTTAAATTAACATTTTTACTATAATTATAAATAAATTTATACTACCAATGTATACTTATAAATATATAAACTAGTATATTTATTGTTTAAATTATCAGTCTGATTTTACCTTATTTTCTTTGCTTCCAACGGTCATTAACAAAATAATTTTTTTATTTTTAAAATTTACAAACAGCTACATAACGGCTAATGAACAGTATTATACAATCTATAAATACACTTATCTATCATTCATTTCACTCAAACATTTCATTCCCCCATCAAATTTCTTTCAAAAAAAAAAATGGTTCATCCCTTTTTAGGTTTTGTAATAGGTTATATACTTGTTGTTTTTTATAGTTTACTATTTGGAGAATTCTCTCCGAAAGAATATGTGATGATTTTTATGTATTTGTATTCCTTGTAATGTCATTATGTATTCCACCACCTCGCATATTTTAATAAAAATCATTTTTCTAATATAATTACTTCTGTTATTTTATTTTAGAAAATCCAATGGCAAACATTGAGAAGCTCCAATTCCCGGCTTTAGACATCACTGGTGCTAATTACATATCTTGGATCACTAACATTGAACTTCACCTCGAATCTCTGGGTTTAACGGAAACCATCAAAGAGAAGAATACCTCAACGGCCCAAGAAAAGGCGAAATCGGTGATCTTCCTTAGAAGACACCTAGATGAAAGTATCATCTATGATTACGCACACATGAGAGATCCCCAAGAGCTTTGGAAGTCCCTTAAGGATTGTTTCGATCATCAAAAGGACATAACACTTCCACTTGCTCGGGATGAGTGGCAAAATCTGAGGTTTCAAGACTTTGACAAAGTGATGAACTACAATTCCGCAGTGTTAGGAATTGTAGCTAAATTAAGGTATTGTGGTGAAACCATTACGGAGTCTCAAATGCTTGAGAAAACATACACCACATTCTATAAAAACCACATCACTCTGCAACAACAATACCGGTTACGTGGATATACCAAATTTTCGGATTTGATTGTGGCACTCTTGATAGCTGAGAAGAATAACGAGCTCCTTATTAAGAATCACATGACACGACTCACTGGATCTAAAGCGTTTCCTGAAGCGAACGCATTGGATGTTAAGAATCCAGTTAAAGAGAACAAAACATTTCGGGGACGTGGCCGTCGAAACTACCGCAGACTTGGGAGAAACTACAGCCCTCAGAATAGGAAGTCATTCCAGTGGATTTGTTCTGAACAACCCCCGAAGGGAAAAGAACACCAAGGAAGTACCTCACAGAAGCGAGAGGATACTTGTTTCCGATGCAGTACCAAGGGACATTGGTCTCGTGTGTGTCGTACTCCTGCACATCTATGCACATTGTACAAAGAATCCGCTAAATGCAAGGGAAAGGAAGTCAATCTTGCGGAACATTCTGAGGGTACAACGCACCTTGATGCGTCTGACTTTGCAGATGACTTTGATGAAACCGCCCCTACGGAAGCCTGAAATATCCACCATGTGACTCTTGAAGTTTCAACGAATGTACCATAAATAATTGTCGCTTATGTAAATTATAATGTATAATTAATGTTGTTTGCATTACCTAATTATGTATAATTATCGTGTGATATTTTTTTATTAATGTATAATTATTGCATGATATTTGCT